TTCTTGAGAAGTCAACTGAACTTTGACCAAGCATAACTTTCACATGCTTCATCATATTTTCCTCAACCAAATCTCATTTTGAAGGAAATTCAATTCTCTACAACTTTGTATCTCTAAGATCAAGTCCAAAAAATTCTTCATTCGAGAGATATGGGCCAAAACATTATAGGTCATTTCAAAAGTCAACAAAAATACACTTTTTGTCAAGATAACTTACATCAAGATAAATTCTACAAATGCGAAAGTTATCAAAATAGATATTGTACAGGACATCTTGAGCTTTCTAAAAAGTCCAAGATCAGCCTTAAATGATAAAAATTGGGAGAGTTATGACTAGTGCAATTGGGAAATTTTGAGTAAATGTATGAAACCAAACGTGATCAAACTTGGAATTTTGGGCTATTGGGCTTGCGATTCATAGTCCATGCATGTTTTGAAACCTATAATGAACCTCAGAATTCATTCATGCACCTCTTGGGTTTTTATTTTATTTATTTTTTATTTTTATTTATTTAAAATTCAAAATAAAAAAAATAAAATAAAAGCTTTTATACAAGGTCCAAGCCCACTCTTTAGTTGGCCTAATTTCAAGTTGTATATTGTCATCAATTTAGACAAGCATGATACAAAATCCCTTGCAAAGAAACCTCTTCCAAATTTCCAAAAAAAATCTAAAGAATTAGGGAAACTCGAAACCCTAGTTACAGCCACATTCAAGCAAAGCCTATTTTCTCGTTCACTTCCAGGAGGACTATAGGGTAAGATTGGATCATTTGTGATGGTCCAAAGAGTATGAAACAAGCATACAGGCCATGTTGGTTTCCTTGATTTCTTGCATATTCATATTTCTAATTTCATGTTGTTTTAATGCATACTAACACCACTAATAATCTTCTGAGACATAACAATGCAAGATTGAACGGTAGCATGGCCCCCATGACGACCGGATAAGGGTTTGTGATGTTCATACCGATTTGAGTTGTTTTTATCATATCTTCTAAACCAGCGTGATTTGGCCAAAGGTAATGGTTCCATTGAACTCGTGGGGCCTAATTTAGGGGGAAGGGTCCTTTTGTGCTTTAAACATGTGTTATTTTACAGGTTTCCAAGAAAAACCTCACCGGAGAAGATGATCGGAGCTAGGGCTCTGGCGCCTCTCTGGTCCATGTAATGAGTTTATAACATATTTAAATCGTTTCAGTTATATCACTGGATGTATCAACACCATAGTGGTAGAAGCGCGCACGATAAGGCCTTGCTATGCAAGGGTGTGGGGTTGATCCTTGCCTTTTGCATTTTTTTCATATTTTTTTATTTCTATTGATCACATACAACACTCTTCATGATGTCAACCGTGCATCCAGCCATGCCTCATCATCAAGATCTTCATAGATATGATATAACCTCCCAGATGCACTCCTCCACGATGCACCATCGTTGATGCCACACACTAGATCTTAGAGGTCAGCACTTGGGCCTGGGCTTCTATTGCAAATCACCCCCCCCCCCTGTTTACTATAATCAGGCCCAAACTCTTTCTTTTTTTATATTTTTTCTCTTTTTATTTACTTACTTGTTTTAATTGTTAATTAAAATATCAAAAATATTAGTTTTAGGTTAACTAATTAGGTTTAGTTTTAATTACCCTTTTTTTAATTAATTAATTTAACTAATTAATTTTCTTCATTAAAATTAACTAGATTCTTAGGTTTTTTTAATTAAATTAATTGACTTCTCTTTTACTAAAATTAATTAGGTTTTAGGTCTTTTTTTATTAATTAATCACAAGTCACTTTTTTATAAAAAATTACCAAAAATATCTTCTTTCCCATTTTCATTTGATTTTTACCTTTTAGATTGACTGTATGTAATTTTTATTCGTCGCTTTTCTTTTTCATTGTAACTGTTTCCTGGGATGTAATAGCTAGAGTTTTCATTCTCCGCAATTTCTATTATGTAACTTCCCCGAAGTGATGTATAGTTTAGGGTTTACTTTTTGCCTTTACTTTCCCCACTTTACCGTTTTTTATATTATTTTATGTTTACTGCTTAGTAATTAGGGTTTGCATGGAAAGATAAAAACCTGATGGTAGAAAACCCTAACTTCAAAGATAAAATAATTGAACATAACACACTCACAAACTTGCACCTCTAGGGTAACCTCCCTTGTTGCCTTTGGAAAACAGTCATGTCCCTCGAACGTGGGGACACTTTAGCAAAGTCCCTCGATACAAAGATCATAGTCCTTCGATGATACTTCGATATTGCCTTTCGGTAAATGATCTAGTCCCTTACGAAAATTGCTAAAAGTGACCTTACGAGTTGACTTTGATGACTTTACGATGACCCTCGTTTGTCCTTTCACATCCAATGATAGGGCTTCCTACTAACTAATGGTAGGATAACACTATCTAAAGGAGGAGTAAGAGTACAAGAACGACCTTGAGTAGGGTAGATCTTAATCGCTTGCTCATAAAGCTCTTTAAAATAAAACATTTAACACAAACACATTCAAAATATTTTCAAAACATTTTGTACGCATTCTCAAGGATAGATACGAGAATCATTATAAATTTTCGCCTTACATTAGCAACTTTTTTCAAAATATTTTCACATAAACAACACAAAGCAATTTTCAAAAAGTGACCTAAGCAATTAAGATCCCGTAGATAACTATGGATGAAAAGGGTTCTAACACCTTCCCTTTTCATAACCTATCCCCCGAACTCAAAATCTTCAAGGTCTTTCCTATTCTTTTCACCCTTTCCTTATTGGATAAAAGAAAAGTTGGTGGCAACTCTTGCTATCCGCAACATTTGCAATAAAACATAAAATAAGTCAGTTCTCCCACCATATTACATCCTCTAACATGTCATTGACACGTTTGAACCTCAAAAGTTAGGCCCATTAGCCCATAAATGCAACATTGCTCAAAGTGGACTTCATGCATTTCTCAAAAATTTCTCAATTTGCACTAATCATATCTCACTCAATTTTCATCATATGAAGGAGACCTTTGACTTTTTAGAAACCTCGAGATGTCTCCTACAACTTTCATGTTGGTCATTTTTCCATTTGAAGATTTTAACTTGATGTAAATTGCTTTGACAAAAGGTGTCTTTTTGTTGACTTTTAAAATGACCTAAAATGTTTTGGCTCATATCTCTCAAATGAAGCATTTTTTTTACTTGAGCTTAGAGACACAAAGTTGTAGAGAATTGAATTTCCATCAAAATGGGCTTTGGTATAAAATTTTCTGACGAAGCATGTGAAAGTTATGCTTGGTCAAAGTTTAGTTGACTTCTCCTAAAAAAAACCCTAATTTAGTAATTTTTTACTTTTTATGAATCTTGAGTTTTCTTGATGAATCATGAGCAACCCTTGATCAAATGATGAATGTGACCTTAAAGCCTTTATATTGACCAAAAATATTGAAGTTTGATTGTATGTTGACCACAGTCGACTTTTTGTCCAATGTAGTTGATTTTCAATCATCTGAGCAATTGGCTGAGCAAACTTGTGATGCAAGGCTTGAAACTTGTCATGAGGGTACCTTGAAGCATATGAGGAATCATGGTATACACTTGAGGCATTAGAAGCTCAATTTTATTTGAGAAAACCAAAATCCTAATTGTAGGCCACTACTTAGGAAGAGGGTTTGTCTGATCATTCTTTGAGTGGTCTTGAGTAATTGAGAACCCTAAGAGGATGAGGAGGTATCTTGAATCAATTGAATTCAAAAATGGAAGAAAAATTTTTGGGGTACAACAGAAAGTAATAAAATGCAATGCATGTAATAAATAAATAATAAGTAAAGCATAAAAATAAGTATAGGAAGTAATACATAAAGATAAACACCCAATTAAAAGAAACAAACAAAATCTAGGATTGACTTTCTTAGGTAATTCCCTAGTAGAGTAGCTAGTTGTCGTGCCGCGAAAAACATAGAGTCACCACCGAACTTTATTTATCCCGAAGGAAGGGAATATATCGAGAAAATCGTAAAAGGAGGGATAAGATGGTCTTGCAACAAGGAGAAAGGGTATGAAAGTCGATTACGCAAGGGGAAGGTATTAACACCTCTCACGTTCGTGGTACTCCACGGAATCCACTCGTGTTGTTTTAATCAAATGGTGTGTTATATCTAATGATTACTTGCTAAGGGAATACATGCATGAATTGCTTAAGAAAAATGTAGGGAAAACAAAGGTTTTAAATAATTGTGCCCGCTTAGGCCCCGCAACCTTAATGTCAATGTATCCCTTTTAAGGAATCAGAGTGTCGTAGTTTGGCTCAAAATTTTTGGTTTGTTGGTGTTTTTATGGGTTATAACCCTTTTTGAAAAGTTTTTGAGTTACGCCCTCAAGGAAATATGCCACATTTGATTCGTTATCTCAATTCTAATTGAGTGACATCATCGATCGACAATAAATAAAGGAAAACAATAAAGTCCTATAAGGAGCATGGTATCACATAAGCAAGCAATAATTATTTCCAATCATCAAACATCACCAAAATAATATCAAAATTGCAAACAAACACATGCCTTGAAGATAAATAATTAATGATTAAATTGGCAAAAAAATTTAGAAAAGGGAAAAAGAAATTCCTATTTAATTCCTAAAAGTACCACCTAAATCTAATATTTTTTATTGTTTTTTTTTTCTCAATAATTTTTATTACCAAAAATTATGAATAAAAAATTAAAAGAAAGCTTAAAGAAATCTAAAAAAAACAAGATCAAAGGGGGTGTAAAGCCAAAACTGGAGGTACGGACCAACTGAAGGTCTGGACATACCAACCAGAGGCCCAAAGAGAGTATTTTTGTTACAATTCTAGCTCAGTCGAAAATTGTGGTGTATTGGGTTCAGTGGGTGTACAAGCGTATCGCAATTAGAATTCAAGGTCCAAAGCTGATTCACTCAGTCCACCAACATCACACTCCCATTTTTTTAATTCTTTCCAATATTTGGATAAAAAAAGGATAATAAGTTTTGTTTATGACTCTTCAGCTACTGCGTTCATCCCTTTCTCGGTATCATACACAAATCGCTGCCACACCAGCACGCGCTACAGCGGCGGTCGCGGTGACATAACGTCTAGAAACTCAAGACATTACATATTTCTCTTCATCTACGATCAACGGTTATGGCCTCTTCCTCCACCAAACCCGCTCTATTTCTCCTAAATTTATCCAAATGATAAAAACCCTAAGAGTTTCGAAATGGAATTAAATAGCGATAGAGAGTGATCTCGACGCTTGGTCATAGGGATTTTGTTCAGCATACCACAAGCCCTCAAACGGTATCCAGATTGAAGCGAAACAATGAAGGAAAACGAAGTTCAGAAACTTACCCCTCGGAGTAGTTCCAGTAACTCTTCCACAGTGTCGGTGTCTTAAGAAAACCAGAGGTGTCTTCAAGTAATAGCTCTTGTAATTCCTTTGATTTCTGCAACAAAATCTCCTTCTTCTTCTACTCTTTCTGCCAATGTTGTGATTGTTGTAAGCCCTCTTGCACTTGAGAAGGGGATGCAAGGAGATCGAATAGAGAATTATGAGGCTTTAGCTCAGTTGATTAGAGTTTCAGAGGTTGAAACTCTAACAACAATGAAGATGAGTGTATGAGTGAGGTTAGGGATGGAGAAGATTAAGGGAGTGTTTGAGATGTAGAAGATGAAGATGAGAGAAAAGTGAGGAAAATGTTGTGTAGAGTTGCAGAGAGAGAAGAGAGATCGTGAGGGTGATGAGGAGAAAAATGGTGGAGAGAATCTCAGAGAGAAAGTTAAGGCTTGAAGGTGGTGAATCTGAAATATGGATGAATGGTGAATCAGAGTGAAAATGGATGGGTGAATGGTGCGTGGAACCTGTGAATGGAAAAGGAAAGAGTTTATATAGGATGGTGGTTGAAGAAGTTAGTTACAAATGAAGGATTAAAGGCCCTAGGATTGAAGGAAGTTTGTTATGGAATGGAGGATGGAGATTTAAGTTGTGAGAGTTGGTTGTGTATGGTAAGGGATTAGTTAGAGGGTGGAAAAACGGTTATGGAAGGTAGAGATGAGCTGGAATCTGTTAGTTCCCTTTGGAGTTTATTAGCAGTTAGTGAACAGTTAATTTTGTTTGAATTCTTTGAGTATGGTTTGTTAGCTTTAGGGATTAGTTCGCTGAGAAAAACCGTTACGAATTCTGTTAAGTGGTTGTTACGACTTCATTTGACAGTTGGAGTATTAGGGATGTTTTGAAAGGTAAAAAAACTGCCAGTTGAAGGGAAAATGTTAGGTTGGTTATATTTTTGGTTGAATAGTTAGGAGCTGAAGTTATGTTTGCATGAATATATAGCTATGGTTTTTATCTCTGTTAAATGCTCAGGTTTGGATTACAGTTAAGTGAGTTGAGGGATAGAGTGAGAAATCGGTTATGAGGTTTTTGTTTTTGCAGTTTTGATTTTTAACTATTAGTTTACATATGGACTGGTTTTAATCTCCAGAAGCCGAATTGTTTCACTCTCTTTTTTTGGTCTGGTTTTGTGTCTTTGTTTGGCTTGTTTTGGACTATTTCGGTTTATGTATATCTGTAGGGCTAATGTGAATTGATTGGCTTATGTCATGATCAAGTGAATTGCAATCTGTTTAAAAGTTTGGATAACTTAGTGTAATACACAATGAATTATTTTTGCTTTATTAACTGGAATGTAAGTTGTTATGGCAAGGATACAAGTTGAGATTGGCTTTCAAAGAAGCATGGCATTAAAGTCCATTATAAAGGCAAGGATGGAAGAAAGGGTGCAAGGCGGACATGGAGATGGATCCGAATGGCATGGCATGACGATTGGTTAGAGCTTAAAACATGGAGGATGATTGGAGATTAGGATAGTTTTAGCGTAGGTTTAGGATAGATTTTGATATAAACTCTTTGTTGTGTAAATTTTTATGTGTGTAATGATATACTTGAATGGAAAATGTAATGTAAGTTATAGTAAGGTTCTGGCACTTTGTAATGGCTTGTAATTCTTTCTCCTTCGGGTAATACTTCAAATGGCATGATATTTGGAAGTAGTTTACCATGTGAATGGACTTGAATCCTTAAAATCACGAGCCATGAATAATGATACTAGATAATGAATGGAATGGTGGGAAATTGATTGAATCTTCAAGTGGATTTTGATGAACTTTGAATGATAGACTGATGAATTAATATGCATAGCAAATGTCTTGACAAACTTCCAATCTTGCAAGCTTCACTTCTTGTCCTGTAACTTTGATGCCACTAGATAATTCGAACCAATTTAGCTCAAAACATTAATGAATCCAATTTCAACTTCACTTCTTAAAGGAACCTAATCTTCGATTCAATCTTCAAACTCCCGTGTCAGGCAACAAAGATCATTAGCGACCTTGATAAAAATATGAACCCACAATGACATCTATGTATCATAACTCAGTACTTTTGCACTTCAATCCTCAAAGATATCTTGTCTTGGAGAGCACACAATAGAAATGCCTTAAAGAACTCTTGGAGATGGTTGATAAGGCTTGAAATGATGGAGAGAAACCAAACCCTAGCTTAAAACAATATCAATTAAAAACCAATATTGAACCCTAATTATCTTACCATGATTGTTCAATGATGAAGGAAGTAAGACGGAATGATAAAAAGAAGCCACACCCTAAGCACAACATATGAAACCCTAGCCCTTGGCCTTGAGGTATCTTGATGAATAAGCTTGATAAATTTTTATAAAGGAGATGTTCAAGACAAATGGGAACACAAAACCCAAGTTCCACACACCCTGATTATTGAAGAAACTAATTGATTCCACCTTGACTGAGGATTATAGCCTAAAAGCACAGAGGAACCATAATTCCTCAATGTCCTTGATCCATGCCAAATTTATTGATGATGCATGATTTATTGTATGACCTGATAGGAGTTATATATGTGATGATTATGATATGCATAAGCCAGATGATTTAATAAGGGGTAAGACAAATTTGAGGTATGACAGGATCATATTAACATTTGCATATAGTTGTACCTGCAAGCACATAGATCCACATTTGAGATCTAGGCTCGGATATTCGATGGGTCTAGGGAATATGGACCGCGTCTTAAGGGAGAAATTAGGAATAACTTTTGTCATCTTATAGAACCATCTCAAGGCACTTTTTAAAGGACAAAATCAAGTGTGATTTTCTCATTTCGAAGGAAGGACAATTTTCCTCCTTCATAACACATAACCTTGCCACCCTTTCTTTAAACTTGGAATTTAACGAAATAGTTCAAAAGATAGGTGAACCTTAACCCGATGAACAGTCTTTCTGTTCCATAATCCTTTTAACCGTGTTTTTGCCCTCCATATCAGCTACAAATTGTTAGAAGAAAAAGCGATAAAAGAACATAAAATGAAAGACATCATGTGATAAACACCAATACACACCTAAAATAGATGAAGGGTTATCTTTATGGTAGAAATAAGGGTTATAAAATATATGTGACATGGTGGAGTCCCTCTACTCAAATAATTTGCATAGATCCTTATATTTTGAAAAGGTTTAACATCCTTGTCCTTCAATCTTTCATATCCAAAACACAACTCCTTCATGTTTATCTTAAAGTGGTCATTCGACCAACTTTTGTTAAAATGTTGTTTTCTAGGCTTATCAATGATGTGTATTGACTGATGAGAAGTCTTGACTAAAGGAGAAATAATTATAACTTAAGGGAAACATTCCTCAGAAGGGCCCCGTAAGAGTTTTAAAATAGTTAAAATCATAACGAAGATAACCAAATCATGGGTGTGCCTTGATAATTCCCAGTGGATGAAACATGGCACCGAATAATGAAGCACAGGGGTATACCTTAAGATAAGAACATAGGTGTAAAAAGGCAACAAAAAACTTAAAAATAAATCACTTTCAAATATCATGAAATGCAACCAGGGGCTATAATCTTGTAGAGTAACATCATACATAGGAATAAGGTATGATGGATAACAGCCATAAATTTGATCATCAGTACCGAGGAGGATAACAACCTATTCATCGGATTTCCTCCATGACTTAAAGTGTCGTAGTGTCAAAACTAGAGTAAATATGTCCACAACCAAGATATAGATAGTGGGCACAACCCTCTAAAGCGGTTAATTTTACAGGATCCGCAAGCCCACCCAGAGGATACCATTGAAAGTCACTCATAGATGACTACTTAAATGGCTACGTTAGAAAATATGCTTCCTCAACAAAATTATACATTATCCCCGTAGCTTTTTGCGTAAAGAACCTCACGGAAAAAAAAAGATGTCAAAGTGGAAGGAAAAATTATATGCCACCCTAAGTAAGGGAAAAATTCCCCATTAATACATATCAATGCCTTCACAAGGATGGATCATCCCTTACAATGAATAGAAGTCAAAACATTACAAGCAAGAATTATCATCATCATAACTGAAATTTCACATCGTGGTTGATAAACACATAAGGAACTACCCAGGATCTTAAAACATATGAGAAAAAGAGAAGAAATATAGAAACTTACCAAAAATGTTAATACCGGAACATCGGGACAACCAACTATAATAAATCCTACCAAAAAATAGACAAGGAATGAGAAATGTCAGAGATGTTTATACCACACACTGCAAAATGAAGGATGAGCAGAAAGACTTAAATGAACAAGAAAATTTTTGTTTATAGAGGAACTTTAATAGAAATCAATCACAAGAAGCTACCTAAAATGGAAATTATTAATATATATTTTCCATGTCATAATTATCATACATAGGCATAGGAGGAGAATCATTAATTGTACCCATGCCTAGAATCCTTAGATGTAACTCTAAGGGAGCATTTTATGTCCGAAAAATGCCAAAAGTTATGGGAGAATTGCCTAAAATATCCCTAACCAATGTAAAAATTTCCACACAATGAGTCAACACAAGCTGACAACACCAAGGTCATCGAATCAAAGAAGTTGAGAAAGGGCAGTGATAAAAAGTGGTATGTCGTGTGTAGACGTGTTTCAAAGATTAAAATGTGAGTGGAAGAAGATCCAATAAACAAAAAAGAGGCTTTAAAAGTCACACATTCACTAGTAAGGAAATCTTGGTTCCTAATCAGTAATCATGTTACACTTGTAACTATACCACCACCACGCACACTGCAAATAACGTATGTAGGGAATATGTGTCAAATAACCTTAAAGGTCCCATCAAGTACTAGTAGATAAAATAAAGAATACCAAAGATCTTATTCGACAAGATAGATTATGATGAATGAATGTCCACCATGAACTTAGGAGCACGAAGATTGAGAAAACGCTGAGGACAACGACCTATATCACAAGTCACACCCCGGCTACATCGAATCAGGCTTGGAGGATAGCGGTTCTTGCTTGGAAGGACGAATGTATTAAATGACTCAATAAGGATGCTCGCCCATAATGGATAAGTCCAATATGATCCCCTCCATCTTTTTACAAAGATTATGGACTGTCTGATCAAGAAAAATACTATTGATACGACACCAGACTGATGATGTTAGATCAAAAGTATTGTTTCTCCAGCTATAGACTGAAAGAATATTCTAGGACATCGGGATCAAGTGTGGACTTACCCTAAAAAAACACTTAATCAAGGCAAAAGATTAAAGGAGGATCGTCAGATGAGAGAACAACTGAACAGGTAATAATATCTGACACATCTCCATTTAGACAACTAATTTGGAGAATAAGATTCTAGGTGTCTAAAACCCCATATAATTTGACTATAAAAAGAAAGGCAACACGTCAAATTCAGATATCCTTTTTTCTAAATAAAGTTACTTCTTATTTGTGATAGTTACTAACTTAGATGTTTGCAGGGTACCATTATTTCTCTACATTGGACTAGCATGTCACAAATTTTTAGAAGTCGCCTAGCCCTTACCCATCTCACATCTACTATAGCCACTCTGATCCAAGGAGAGATCAACCATATGGGAGGGGGTGTATTTTTTTTAAGAAGTGGGAATATTGCCAATATAAAGTAATTTAATTTAATTAGAATACAGTAGGTCAAGATTCTAACATAGCAATGCTTCTAAAATGGATTCTGTTTTCAACATTTTGTTCATAGTTTTGGGATTAACTTGGATCCACTCAAATGGGTGGGTGGCATGATACATTCTCTCCAAAAACGTTGTATATTGTTGTTTGTCAACCCTTCTAATGATAGTGACAACTAGTTAAGTGTACCTGAAGCGACCAAAATTATCTTCCATTATTGGCTCTTTTATTTTACAATGGCAGACAGATTTTATTCTCTTAACCAAGCTTCACTATACTTCACTACAATGGCGGATCTACTCGTAAATTATGTTTGCTCGTGATAAACAATATTTATGGATTTGCCACTACTTCTGTAGATGGATGGATATGCGGCAAAATATATTCAACAGTTGATTATTCTGTCTTTTTTGGGAAAAAAATATTAGATTTGTTCTTTTTAATTATCAATTATATATATTTTTTATGCATAGGAATAAAGTGCGGGAAAATCATTTCTTATGTGACTTTGTACTCTTGTTAGTTATTTATTTTTAAAATGAAAAACTTATAATGTAAAGACATCTCATATTGTTGTAATGAGAAGAGAGAAGAAAAGAAAATCAGGATATAACTATTTTATTATTTATTTATTTATAAGAGTTTAAAGATTACAAGTGAATAATAACAATCAATTTTTTTTAATAACATGAGAGAATTAATTTATTTATACACTATTAAGCTAATTTAAGCTATAAGTTGATGTAATCGGAAAGTCCTAAGGAATAATAAGCGCTAAACCTAGAATGAAAACAGG